AATTGGCTGGAATATGGGGTATATTTGGGAGGAGTATGGGATATATTTGGGTAGAATATGGGATATATTTGGGCAGAATATGGGATATGTTTGGGCAGAATATGGGATATGTTTGGGAAGAATATGGGTTATATTTGGGGGAAATATAGGATATATTTGGGGGAATGTGGGATATATTTGGGGACAATATGGGATATATTTGGGAGGAATATGGAATATATTTTGGGGAATGTGGGATATATTTGGTGGGAATATGGTATATATTTGGGGACAATATGGGATATATTTAGGGACAATGTGGGGTATATTTGGGGCAATATGGGATATATTTGGGGACAATATGGAATATATTTGGGCGGGAATATGGGATATATTTGGAGGGAATATGTGATATATTTGGGGGCAATATGGGCTATATCTGGGGGGAATATGGGATATATTTGGGTGGAATATGTGGTTTCCAGGCACAAAATGCCTCTCTGGAGCAGTGATGGAGTAGAGTGATGAGGAAGAAGGCTCGGCCAGGGGAGCAGGGGAAGGATATTCCCTGCCAGAGCTCCCTGCATCCATTTCTAGAATGGCCCAAACGTGGAAATTCCAGGGAACCGTCTCCTTTCTGAGGTTTTAAAGTTTTGCGTCCAAGTGCAGAAGAATGAAGACAGATCAGAACGGCAAATGAAATGTTTTGAGCAACACAAAGAGATTTTGGCAGTCCTGAGGACAGTGGGAGGAAGAGAATTTTCTCTTCAGGAACTGTAAAATGATGGGGTTTGTTCCAAGGCAAGCTGGAGCCTGAAATCTTGAAATGTTTCCTGAACTGAATTCTGCTCTCAGCACACCTCTCTCTCTCTCTCGGGGCTGCTGCTTGGACTGAAAATGCCATGTTTCCATCATGCTGCTCATGTCAGGGAAGAGACCTGGGAAGGAAAATAAACCCTGGCAACTCAGTGGGGAGGGGGGGAAGAAGGAGAGAAGATGGGACCTGACAATCTCCCCAGAGCTCTGAGGGAAAAACAGACCTGGGCTCGCCGGCAGGGAGTGAATCAAACTCTATTTTTGCTTCCTAGCCCACGGTGAGCCTCGTGGCAGAAATGCCAGCTCTCATCATACCTTGAGCCCCACATCTTGCTCCCTTTTCTGACTGCAGATGGCCTGAGCCTGGTCATGGACCACCCCGAGGGCACACGGTGGGAGGAGAAGCCAGCAAGGAGAATTTCCCTGGGGAATGCAGACCCAGGGGATGGGGAGGAACTGATTGTGTCCCCAAAGCAAATTTAGGGTCAATCAATCAACCAATCAATCAACCAGAGGATGGATTGGAAAAGATCTTAAAGGACATCCAGTGCCACCCCCTGCCATGGGCAGGGACATCTTCCACTGTCCCAGGCTGCTCCAAAACCCACCCAGCCTGGCCTTGGATATTTCCAGGGATCCAGGGGCAGCCCCAGCTGCTCTGGGCACCCTGTGCCAGGGCCTGCCCACCCTCCCAGGGAACAATTCCCAATTCCCAATATCCCACCTAACCCTGCCCATTTTGAATCCATTTCCTTATCCTGTCCCTCCATGCTCCTGTTAGAAGTCCCTCTCCATTTTTCTTGTGGCTCCCTTCCAGCTTTCCTTGGAAGTAATTCTGGAGAGAGGAGCTGGAAGCCCAAAGCACCAGGTGTAGTTTGAATTGTTTTTGCCAAAGCCCATCTTGAGCAAGAGGTTTTTGGCTCCCTGTGGGCAAGCTCAGCCTTGTGCCAATCCCTTTGCCCTGGGAACAGCTCCATGAGTGGGATCGGCTCCGACAAAGCGCCCCGGGCTGGGAAGGTCAGCACCAGGAAAGAGGGGACAGGACAGCATCCATCCCAAATCCCAAATCCATCATCTCCAGCTGGATCACAGCCAAACAGGCCAGGCTGGAGGTGTCCAGCTCAACCTTGAGCCAGGTTTTGCACCCTCCTGGGTGTGAGTAGAGCTCAATTCCTGCGCTGTTCCTGCCTGGAGAAGTCAGGGATGAGCTGCATCCATCTGATAAGGCTCACTGGTGTGGGAACCCAGAGCTTCCCTCTGGCTGCCCTGG